CTTATAAACGAATTTGGCTACCTAAAAAAACGTCATTTCACAATAATAGCTAGGCTCCGAGCAGGGCACTGCAAAACGAGGGCCCACCTTCACAGGATGGGACTCACTGTGAATGTGGACAAATCGACAGCATTACACACTGTATATTGGAATGCCCCATTAATAACAGTAATAAATTATACACAGACCTTACAAGATCCGGCATAACAACGCCGGCCAGAATGACCACAATTTTAAAGGAAATCAATTCTACAAATGTTAAACAAATTATCAAATTCATTGAGACCAACAATATAATTGTGTGAGCTTAGCTTACCTAGTGAAACGTGCCTTAGTAGATGTAGAAGGGCAATAATGGTATGGGTTGAGGGATAAATGTCTGTTGGCAGTAGAGGTAACCTCTTTAACTTTTGCTTATATTGGTTTGTTTCTCCCTACTAAAGTTAATAATGATTAATTAAAGCATGCATGCGCAAGGAAAAATTATGAGAATGGTACTAATTAACTAAACTGCTTCTTTTTTTCTCTTTTTTTTGTCACAGAACCTTTGCTCGTATTGGGGTTAATTTTTGTATACGTCATTCAAGGAATACTAACAGTACACACTGTATAACCCAACCAAAAATCCTAAACCCAATTACAAAAAAAAAGAAGCAATACACCAACGTCTTCTTCTTCTTCCTTGGTGGCCCAAGGCCTTAATGGTCTCGGTTTCAATGAACCACTTTGACCAGCAACAAGTTTTAATGTCCATGCGCTTCACGAAGCCATCCACCCATAGACACGTGAATTTTCCAAATCTTGGATCATCCACTCCATGTGTTGTACAATTCACAAAATACCTCGCTAGAAGGTCAAAGCTTGCGATATTGTCCAAAAATACAGGTATATTTCTATAACCGGAATTCCATTTTGTCCCTCCTGGGTCAAAGTCAGCTATGTTTCAGACTTTTCATCGAGCAATGACCCAGAGATGAAAGTACGATGCACCACACACGAAAGACAAAATCGAACTGGCAATACACCAAACCAACAACAACAAACTAGAGGATGAAGGAATGAGCTGGCCAAATAGTCTACAGACTAAAGGCCATCAGCGCTATCCTGAATGAAGTAGGGATAGCAGTAACGAAGAAGAAGAAGAAGAAGAAGACCGTGGGAGTCGATAGATCGCACGGGATAGAACCCATCGTACGAGAGAAACACCGGATCGTATGATTTTTTTCAAGAATAGCCGCCCCGGTGTACTTCTAGTCACTTTGTTTTTTATAATAAGCATCTGGGATCCCATTCAACCAGAGCAGTGTTGCCAGATGGGTAAAAAATAAATCCCTATTCAGTGATGTACCTAATTGCTATTATGAAATTCCTTATTCATTTCCCTATGCTATAGTCCCTATGTTTTTTTGACGTTTTTTGTCAAAAATATACAAGGTCTCTATCATGGTCTCTACCCTAAAGAGTTTTAAAGCGCGATTTATAAACTTTCAGTTTTCGTCGGCGTTGGCGATGGCCTCGTAGAACACCACTCATATAAAGTCGCTGGCGTTGAGGATTAAAAACCTTTCTAAGTAATTTAGTTTTTTGTCAGATTTTTAAAAGTAGGGTGGTGGAATAGTATATTATTATAAGAGAGTGAATAATGCGCATAATCTCGAGTGTAATACTATACTTTATCTACTCCAATAAGTAGATAATTAAATGATTTTAAAAATTAAATAAATAAAATCTGACATCTGTCAAATGGTTAACCTTACTTTTTACCTATTTTAAATGTAATTATAGTCGCCTTCTTCCAATTTAAAACATGATTGAAACAAATAACAGTGAATATTAAAATCGGCCAATATACGCCTATAATGCAGAGCTGCAAGCTCTCAGAAAACTTAAATCGTTTTTTTGATTTAACTTAATTTGACTTAAGTCATTTGGTAATAAGTCATTTCTCCAAAACTGACTTAAGACTTAAAATTTAAGTAATTTTTAAAATGATTTGTGACTTAAATATTTTTTTCAAAATAGAAAAAACTTAAGTCATTAATAAAAGGCTTAAATCAGTACATACGATTTAAATCAGATAGAAACGATTTAAGTCAAAAAAAGATTTAAGTCTTTTTGAAAAAGATTTAAGTCTTATTAGAAAATATTTAAGTCAGATTTTTCATTTATTTTTTTATAAATTTTTAACAGCGGCATTTTCTTTTGAACTGCCAGGGGTTCACCCGGCAGCAGATCAAAAACTCCTTTAATTTCCTACCTTTAATTTCCTACCTACAATTGACCATATGCAAGGAATGCGGTCGATGTTGCCAATGGTAAAAAAATAAAATTCCCTTTTGGGAACATTCAATTATATTACGTTGGCTACACTGAAATTTTGAATTTCCCGCACAAACTGACATACATTCTAGTAGTTCCCAGAGATAAAGAAGGTAGTTCCAATCTTGTATAATAAATTAAGGTGCGAATTTCAAATGTGGGAATTATTATTATTTATTATTATTAAAAAAAAAAATGGAAATTAATTTAGTTTGTGCGGGAAATTCAAATTTTTAATGTAGCCAACGTAATATAATTGAATGTTCCCAATAGGGAATTTTATTTTTTTACCATTGGCAACATCGACCGCATTCCTTGCATATGGTCAATTGCTACCGCTAGTGGATAAAAAACCTCCGCGGTAAAGTTATCTTTTCGGAACCGTTTGACGGCTACATTAAAAAATGTCCTGTCTAAAATGAATAAAAAAAAGTGGGGATTTATAATTTTGTTATTTTTTTTGCCAACATTCGTCGTGTTCGTGCGTAGTTAGGTCTAATTTCTAGTTCTAATTATTAGTGCAAAGTTATCAGTTTTGAAATACAGCGATTTTAAGAAAAACGCTTCAACTTTTATCTATTTTAACAGAGTTTGAATCTATTATAATAGATACGGTATACCGTTTAGAAGTTACCCATTTATGTATATAAAAAAGTAGCCTCCCTGTATGTCTACTCTACTAAAAAAGGGGTTTAAGTTTTTATTTTTATTGTCTACTATATATTAAAAAAATGTGTTTTAAGTTTATATTTTGTTTGTAAGTTTTCTGAAAATAAATTGTTTTAAATTCTTAACATAGTGGTTTATTATCATGTGTATCTACAATAGATTAATAATATCAGTATTATTAATGCCATAAAATTATTATTAACATTTAAAAAATCGTTGTATTGACTTAAGGATAATTATTTTGATTTAAATCACAATTTTTTATTCAAGTCATTTTATTGACTTAACTCTTAGATCACGATTTAAATAAAAAATATAGACTTAAGTCATAAAAACGACTTACTAAAGGAATTAAGTCATAAGATGACTTAAATCACTTTAAATTGATTTAAGAATTTGCGAAAATGACTTGACTTGAAAGAAAATGATTTAATTCAAAGACCTTAATACTTAAATCATTTGAACTTTATCTTAGAATTGACTTAAGATTTAAATCATTTTGATTTTAGAATTGACTTAAGACTTAAGACTTAAGTCTTTTTAAAACTGACTTGTTGCAGCTCTGCTATAATGTTTATAATGTTTATCAATATTCACTTAAAAACCCAAAATTATGCAATAGGAGTAGATAAACATAGTTTTTTGATCAAATCCCTAATAATGCATAAATTCTTTAATCAAGGAAAACAACTAAAACTATTAAATTTGCTCGCGCCATCTATTCGTAAATCATGCAATGTAACCGAACGGCACCCCAACTATTATTAGTAATAATTAAACGCTCGCAACAATAGTTGTATAAGAAATCAACCAAAATTTTATAATAGTTATTTAGTTTATAACATGACTTTTTATTAAAACGTCCCACACAGCACACTACATCCATTGTACGTCCATTAAAGGTCCAAACTAAGTACTATGCACCACACTTCAAAGTCCCACCACGTGACCAGGTACGGAACGCAGTCTTTTGAAAATTTGTCATTTAAGGCTTTTCAGGTTATGTATCTGTCAAAGTATAGTCAATGAAAGAAATAATATTTATACTGTTACCGTTTATGTTTAAGCGTTAAAAGTTTATAAATCTTTATAGTATCACAGTAACAATGGTTGGTTTAAGAGTTTAGGAGTATAAATACTGCATTTAATGAAATTCTAAAGTGTATAGTGCCAAATAAGTAAAATTTCTGTGCATTTGGTCTACCTAATATGTTAATATATTAAATCTGGTTTTATCCATAAAATAGTTTTAACTAAACGGCATTTATTAAAAAAATCTAGCTTCTCTATTATAGAATGAGAATATCTGTATCAAAGGAAGGTTAATATATTATAACAAAAAATATCATCTAATTTTAAAATTTTAAGGTTAGAAAAATCTATTTTGATCAAAATACATAAGTATTTTGGATTATTTGGAAGAGTGTGTTAATATGGTCATATAAATATAGATATACTAAATAATTGTTGAATATGGTTCAAATTAAATTAAAGCTTTTATACTCCTAACAACAAAACTTGTGCATACATCTTGGGATCCCTACTTTAAGTTAAATTATAAGGAAACAAACAATTTTTAGAGATACATGCAATGTAAAAATATTTAATACTCCCATAACATAGTTCCTTACACTGTCAGCTAATATACCCATAGTGTCAATACAAGTACCTATAAAAGCTTCGACAAAATTTTATCTACATCAAACAATCATTAGGTATAAATAACCTTATAAATTCTAAAATTTAAATAAAACCACAGTATACTCTGTCTAATATTTTTACTTGTAGTAGTCTTTCTTATCCAGCTTAAAGTATACCTACATAAAGTTTTGTCAATACAATTAAGTAAAAAGCTTCAACTGAATTTTATCTTTATCGAAAAATCATTATAACTTTTAAAAATTTAAAAAATCACGTTGCTTTTCTGGTGCCTTTCGATGGTTGGGTTGGCTGCCTGTGCGTCACTTCGATGGCGGTATATTTAAATAATATAACATCCCGTTTGCTTTTAACTACTCAAGGTTATAGTCTTTAAACTTTGATGGTAGCTTTCTTTCTCTTATAGGTCTTGTAAAGTTGGCGGTTTCCTTTTCTATTATGGGTCTTTGAACAGTAACTTCTTTTTCTTGTATAATATTTCCGCTTTCGTTTTCGTTAAAATCTTTCGCCGCGTCCTCTTCGTTATTTTTACTATTCTTTAATTCATTTGCATTCGTCTTTTTTATGTGTATAGAATTTCTCTTATATTCTTTGCCATTTTGTTCTATTACGTAGTTTCTGGAATTTATTTTTTCTTTAATTTCTCCCGGTTCCCAAACTTCTTCTGGTTTTTTCTTAAAATATACTTTATCATTTACTTCTGGCTCTTCAATATTGTTTGTCTTCCTATCGTAAAAGTGTTTCGCTGTATTTCTTTGTATTTGTATTAACTCTGGAACGTCTTCGTTTAGTTTTGGTTTGAGTTGTTGGCTTGTTATAGGTATATCAGCTCTTAGTCTTCTTGAGAACATTCTTTGTGTTGGGCTTAAGTTTATCTTGTTTGGCGTGTTTCTCCATGTTAATAGGCTTTTATAAATATCTGTCTTGGCTTCTACTGCTTTCTTTATTAGATTCTTTGCTATTTTGACTGATGCTTCTGCTTTACCATTTCCTTGCTGGTGATGAGGACTTGAGAATGTATGTTGAAATTCCCAGTCTTTAAATTTGTCGCTTGTAAAATTTGTTCCTCCATCTGAAATAAGTGTAACTGGAATACCAAATCTGCTAAAGTTTTTCTTACATATCATTATAGTTTCTTCTGCTGTTAAAGTCTTTAATTCGTCTATTTCAAAAAAATCAGAATACTGGTCTACTGTATTCAGGAACTTCTTATTTTTGTCGTTTATCTTCATATCAAATGCTTTTACTTCAAAAACATCTAAAGAAACTCTCTGGTAAGGATATTCTGGTATTTCGTGTGTCTTCATAGGTTGTTTTGCTTGGTTTTGTGAATATTTTATACAAATTTCACATTGTTGTATTGTTTCCTTTATATCTGCGTTTATTCCAGGCCAAAATACTGTATCTCTTGCTAGCTTTGTTGTATTTTCTATCCCAGAATGACTTCTATGTAACCTTTTTAATATTTCTCTTCTAAAATTCATTGGTATTAATATTCTAGTACCTTTTAATATAAGTCCTTGATGTGTAGTTAGTTCGTCTCTAAATTTCCAAAATATTTTATTCTCTGAAGGAACCATGTTTACGTTTTCTGGCCATCCTTCATTTATTATTCTGTATAAATTCTGTAAAGCTTTATCTTCTTTTGTGTGTTTTTTTACTTGCTCAATCGTTTGGTCTCTCATTCTTAGATTGTCTAAGGGATTTTCTTCTTCTATCTTGTATACTTATATTTCTTTGTTGTGTCCATTATCTTCATTTGGTAGCCTTGATAAAAAATCGGCAATATACATTTCTTCGCCTTTTGTGTATATTAATTTTATATCGTATCTTTGTAATCGTAATATTATGCTTTGAATTCGCTTCGGTGCATTTATTATGGGTTTTTTCCAAATTGATATTAGTGGTTTGTGGTCTGTTTCAATTTCCACATCTTTTCTTCCACAAATATATTGATCAAACCTTTGGCATGCAAATAGGATAGCGGTTGCTTCCTTTTCTAATTGACAATAATTCTTTTGTGAAGCTGATAGAGTTTTTGCAGCGAATGCTACTGGTAAGTTTTCCTGTAACAAAGTACATCCAACTGAATCTGATGATGCATCTGTTTGAATTTTCACAGGCTTTGTGAAGTCGTAATGTTTCAATATTGGTGGTGATGTAACTAGTCTTTTTAGTTCATCAAATGCTTTGTCATGCTCTTCCTTCCATATGTATTCTTCATTTATATGCGTTATTCTCCTTAGTGGTTCTGCTACTTTTGATAAATTTGGAATGTATTTGCTAAGATAGGTCAGCATTCCTAGGAATCTTGATAGCTCTGCTTTCGTATTTGGATTCTTCATGTCCTTAATGGCTGCTATTTTTATTGGATCACAAGCTGTTCCTTGTTCAGATATGACATGATTTTAAATTTTACTTGTTTCTTGCATAAATTCAGTTTTTCTTTGTTTAGCTTTAAATTTGTTTGCTCTAGCCTCTTAAATAATTTTTCCAGATTATTGTTATGATTCTGTATTGCTTCTCTTTCTGTTCTACCTTTTCCATATATTAGAATATCATCTGCCATTGCAATACATCCTTCCAAACCATTAATTATTTCTAATTGCTTCTTTTGGTATATTTGCATTGCTGGTTTTACTCCAAATGGTAGCCTTAGATATCTGTATTTTCCAAATGGCGTCCAAAAACTTGTAAGTTTGCTGCTTTCTTTATCAAGTTTTAGTTGCCAAAAACCTTTCTTTGCATCTAATGTGCTAATCACTTAGCTCCTGCCAATTCAGGTAGTATTTGTTCAAATGTTGGCATTTGAAAATCAAAACTCCTTAATGCTTTATTAAGATAAAGTTGATCGAGACATGTTCCTATCTTATTATTTCTTTTAACCAAAATTATGTTGCTTACCCATTCTGTAAAATTTTCTTCTTTGGTTATTACACCAATTTTTTCCATTTCTTCAATATTCTTTTTCAGGTCTTCAATCATGCTTATGGGAATTCTTCTTGGTTGCTGAATTTTCGGAATCACTGCTTTATCTATTTCTAGATTTATTTCGCCTTCCACACATCCTAATCCTTGAAATATGTGGTTATATGTTTCTACTAATTTTTCTGCTTCATTTTCTTGAACTGCTATATTATTGCATATTTTTAGCAATTCTAATCTTTGACATGTTTCTGCTGACAATAACGGCTTATGGTTATAATTCACAATTTCAAATATTATTTCTTGCTTTTCTGTTTCTCTTTTACATGTCATTTTACCAATGCCTATTGGTTTCATAGTTTGCCCTCCAAAACATTTTAAAATTGTTTTTGTTGCATATATGTCCGGATTGTTGTTTTCATTTATTTCACAAAACTCATCCAAACCTATTACATTGCATGTGGCTCCTGTATCTAATTGGCATGATACTTTCTTTTCTTTATTATTTATAATAAAATCTAATTCTGCATTAATCTGCTTTTTATTATCAAAATGTATTTACAAAATTGTCTCATCGGTAGGTTTGTCTTCAATTTCTTTCACTTGCTTTTTGTATTTATTTGCATAATATACCTTTGCATAATGGTCTTTCTTCTTACAGATTTTGCATGTTTGACCTTTTGCTGGACATTTCATTGGTTCGTGCTTCCAACCACAGTACTTGCAGTTACCATTTTCTTCTTGCTTTGTATTGCTTGCTTGCTTCTTATTTTCATACCTATTATTATATTTCTTTTCATTTGTTTCATATGTTTTTTTGTATATTTTCTTGACTTCGTTGTCTTTTTCAGTAATATTATCCAATTGCTGCTTAGATAATTCTTTAGCTTTGCACTTGTCGACTGCTTGCTCAAGTGTTATGTTTCTGTCTAACCATAATGATTCTCTTAGTTTCATGTCTTTTATTGAATAAATGATTTTATGGTGGATTTATGCAGCACAAATTAACATTAAGATTAACTTTAACATTAACATTAAGATTAAGATTAATTTAACATTAATAGGAGGGTATTTATGCAGCAAAATTAGTAGCAAATTAAGCATGCGTATAAGTTAAAGTAATTTTGACATCTGATATTTTTTATTTGTTTGAATTTTGTTTTAATCCCGTTTTAGCATCTGTTAAGTAAAATAAATGAAAACTATAAACTCCACAACAAACAATAAACCAAAGAACACAATCATTGAATAAAAAATTAATCATTCAGCAGTAAGTTTCATTTTTTTTCGGGTATGTTGGCATTACTGACACAGTTTATTTAAAAATTGCGCCGCAAACCTGCGCAGGAGGAATAAAAATTAACATTATCATTGAGAAGATAAAAGTTGGCCATCTCTTAATGTTAACTTAATGCTAAAGTTAATGTTAATGTGTTGCATAAAAGCTTCCAATGGATTACGTTCATTTAACTTCTTAATGTTAATGTTAATCTTAATCTTAATGTTAATTTGTGCTGCATAAATCCAGCATTATCCAATATTAAATCTTTTTCTAACGTACCATATTGACAATTTTTAATTAAATTTTGCAAACGATGAAAATATTCAGTAAATGTTTCATTTGCTTCCTGCTTTGCCATGTTAAAAATTGCTCTCTCATAGCGTTTGTTTACTTGAGGTGTTAGATTTTTGCCTATTGCTTCTAGCAAATCATTTGCATTAGCTTTGTCTGCTTCAGATATTTCAAAATTTTCGTATTTTCTAAAAATATCTTCTCCTATTGCTGTTAATAGTATTGCTATTTTTTCAGGTTCTGGTTTATTGTTTATACCACTTGCTAAGAGATAATTCTGCCATTGCCTCTTAAAAAATTTAAAATTTTCAATAATGTCACCTTCTTTTATTGTTATTGGCTTTGGTAGTGGAATATTCGAGTTTGTTGAACTACTTATGTTCGTCACTAGCTTTAATGATTGCTCCAACTGCTTAATTTTCGCTTCTAATTCTTCACTAGGTACTCATTTTTCTGTTTTTGCTTTTTCAAGTTCTACTTTCGCTTTATTTCTGCTTTTTGCACGATCTTTTGTCTGTTTATACTTTTCTTAATAAACTAGACTCACACACAAATTCACATCTGACACCATGTTATATCGTTGTGCTTTCAATGATATAATTAATAATGCTTCAAATAATATCTTAATTATTTTATTATTGTACTTTATAAACTAACTTTGTTTATGTGTTGTTGAATGCGGAGTGGCGTTGCCAGTGCTGCCGGAGCCATATGTCAGAATCACCCGCATGCGCGAATGAAAATACCCGCTTTTACCCGCCATTTTAATTTTAGAAACCTACAAATTTAAATGTGAAAAAAACAATCAAATAAAATCTTTTATTTCTGTAAAACATTACAAAATAAATAGGTAACACTTATAAATTAAATAAATTCAAGAATTCATATGCATTTCTTCTGACTGTTGAGTTGTTTTCCAAATTTTTGCGTTTATCATTTCCTGACTTGGTTCAAATTTAAGGCAACCTCCCATGTCTTTAATGCCTTGTTTTGTAGATATTATAGACTTTAACGTTGTAGTGTCTAACGAATTTCTATGTTCAGTTTTAATATTTTTTAGGTCACTGAAAATTCTTTCTACACATGCATTTGAAAAAGGCAAAATCAACATCAGGGAAAACATTTTTTGTAAGTTAGGAAAGAGAGGAACACCTACAACATTTTTTAATCCAAATACCATTTTCCAATAGGTTTCACAACTTAGTTCACAATCTAATCCATATTCTGCATGATCTAAAAGAGCATGTTGCTTCCATTCCTTATCCAATAGTTGAAGATTTGTAAATTCTTTTATTATTGGGAATCTTTGTACAACTGTTTGAAGTGATTTTATTTCATAAGATTGGGCGGTTTTTGGTTCAAGAACTTTTAAAATGTTAAAAATTGGATCTGAAAAGTCAAATCTTGTTTTAATGTCTGAGACAACTTCTACATAAAAACTTAGGCAACTTTTGAGAAATTGGTCAATTTCAGATTGGGAAGCATTATTTTTCAAATTTTGTAGTGAATAAGTGGCTGATGGGCCTAAGTACAATTTAGAAAGTGGAACAAACAAGCGAGGATTTTTGTGATCAATAGCAAAGGCATTTTTCCCTTTTAAGTAATTGAAAACCATAAAATTGCAGCACAAATTCATCAACAATTTGTGTGTTTCAGGTTTCAATTTATGAAGTAGGGGGGATTCTGACTAAAATAAAACATTAAAATCAGTTAACATTTTCAAGTTATATGACATAAATTCCAAGTAAATTTTTGTAAATTTGTTGTCAAAACTATTGAGAATTTCTTCTGTGGTTTTGGAGGGGTCTTCAAAAAGTAGTTCTCGAAAATATGCTGCCAAAGGTTCGTATTGCTCTAGTACTCTGTTAACGCAACTCACTAGAGAAAGCCACCGAGTATTAGCAGGTAATAGTATCTTGTGTATATCCGTTTTAAAAAATGTCTGAAATTCTTTGAACTTTTCTTGCCTTGAAAAACTGCCACTGAAATGAGATCCAGTATTGCGTAGAAGGTCTTCAACTGACCTGGGTAATTTTAAGCAAGCCTTTGAAGCTACTAAATGTATCATATGACATGAGCATTTCACACATAAAATATTCGGTAATTCGGATTTTAAATTTGAAAAAACCGAATTATGTTCGCCCACCATTACATTTGTAGTGTCAGAAGAAAAACCTATAAGAATAGACATGGGAATATTACGTTGCAAAATACTATTTTTCAAGCAGTTAAACAAATCTTCTGCTTTTCCAGATGCAGTTTCAACCATGTCAAAGAAATTTATTTTAACATCATTTGATTTTGAATAATATATAACAGCAATTGCACATTGTTTTTTTGCACTTACATCGGTTGTCTCATCCATGACTAAAGAAAAGAAACATCCAGGTTCCCTTAAAATCTCAACCAGATTCTTGCAAAATATAGCTCCCAAACTTTCTTTAACAAGATGAGTAGCTTTTGTCCTTTTATTACACATTTTCATGGCAATTTTCGAATCAGGAAAAATGGTTGCACACAATGGTGTTAAAGTATTCATCAATGCAAATGGTAAATTATTGCTAGCGAGTAGTCCACATAACTTTAATTCTGCCCTTCGTATTAAATTATTTTCTGGTGTTGTGGCCATCACATCGTTAATTTTTTGGTTAGAATTAACTTGTTGAAACTTTTTAACATGTTTTTCAGAGGAACTATGTCCATTGTCTACAGTGACTGATTTACTCAACCAACTCTGAAATTCTTTGTCTTTCACCCAGTAATCACAAAACTTATTCAGCCGCTTCCTCTTTTTGCCTGATTCTGACTTGAACTTGAGCTGAGTCCTGTCTGGGGTAAGGTTGATGTCTTCAACTTGTTCTTTAGGGTCGACGTTTTCTTGTTCTTTGGGGTCGACGTTTTCACTAGAACTCTAAAAAAAATATGTTTTTCTCAGGTATTTTTTGACGCTTTTTATTTAGATAATATACTTTCACAGCCAGATCAGCCATCAATTCATCACCCTCCGAAGCCTCCTCCACCATCAAAATTTTGTTCTGTTTAGGATCGTTTCTAAGAAGCCATCTATCCATTATTGTAAGAATATCTAAACACCTTTCCCATAACCACTGTTAGCATTAAATAAGTACCACACACCCTCTAAAAATTGCTAAATTTGAATACCAAATTTAACATATACTATTTACTCAAGTTCCAATTCACAATGATTTTGGTAAATAATTAGGTTTTACGTATTATGTGGTATTGTGAACTAATAAGCAATTACATGCAAAAATTATTAGCAAATAATTGATACTCACTTTTATCAAGAACAACGGGCACTGTACTATAAGTTACTGACCATAGATAATAAGAATTATGTTAACACCTCCTCACCGAAAACCCTTTTTTTGACAGAAACTGGTAACGCTGTATGCAACTCAATATACGTAGCCAAGTCATACTCCGTGCATGACTCAGTTCTTGGTCTGAGGTGCATGACCTTTGAGTTGGCTGCGTATGTTTAGTTGCATAAGATCAATTATTTGTTTCAATATTTCTTTATTTAAAAATAAAGTTGTTTTACTAAAAATTTTCTGAAAAATACCCGGTTTTACCCGCTTCAAACTTTTACCCGCACGCTTTATAAAAATACCCGCTTTTCGGGTAAAATACCCACAATTGGCAGCACGCCGCGTTGCTTTTCTGGTGCCTTTCGTTGGTTGGGTTGGCTGCCTGTGCGTCACTTCGATGGCGGTATATTTAAATAATATAACAGTCACTATAGTGACTTATTATTATTAAAGGCAATGTCATTGGGTTATTTCAAAATGTTAAATAACCAATATTTGTATACTTGAATTATTAGTTTAGTGTTAAATATAAAATAAAACTTAATTAATTCACTATAATACCAATATATCAGTTATGGGGCCCATATCAAACTTATATGAGTTTATAATGAATGAATTTGTGCGCAAGAAAAATTTAAATTGAAATTTGCGAAAAAAAAGTTAGTTTTCAGCCCGCCTTACCAGCCCCCTACCCCCAAAATTAAGATTATTCAAAATAAAGTGGTGCAATTCATAATTCACCAAAGTTTATCAACAAAATTAAAAATTTATTTTAAAAATCCAAGATCCAAGATTTTATACCATTTAAAATTTTAGTTAAAAAAATAATAAAAATTAAAAATGGTATAAAATGTGTAATTCTTGGATTTTTATTTTGTTCTTTAACTTTAGTGAATTATGAATTGCACAACTTGAATAATCTTAATTGGGTGTAGCGCTGAAAAACTAACTTTTTTCGCAAACTTTAATTTAAATTATGCTTGCGCAGAAATTGTCTATTCAATGTCATTATAAACTCATATATGTTTTATATGGGCCTCATGTCTAATAACTGAGATATTGGTATACCCAAAATCCACCAGCCGCCACTGTCTAAACCTTTTTTATCCTAAATCCTATATGTTTGTAATTTTATTAGAATAAACAAATGTATACATAACTCAGAATAAACAAGTAAACCAACATTTTTCTACAATTTTCGTTCCTAGGCTCATTTTGACATCATATGGAAGTCCACTTCCAACGTACATTGTATGTACATTTATTACATAACATGGACATCCTATAGTGTGCCAAAGTAACGTTATATGTACGTACATGGAATTTGTACAGAGATGGATGTTCTATGGACACCATATGAACGACTTTGTGCTCTATAAAAGTTTTTGTCTAGGTATAACGAAAATTCCCTATAAATAAATAATAATTCCCTTTTTCCCTATTCTCCAAAAATATCCCCATAAATAGGGAAAAATTCCCTAATCAGGCAACACTGAACCACAGATAAATGCAACCAAATGAATCCACAACCGTCATCATTAATAAAAGTTTTATTTATTTATAATGGAACATTTTTTATTTTCGCATCGTATTATTTTGAAATATACCTAAATTAGTTTAATGTCCGAACGTTTTTATACAAAACTTATTTTTAGGATTTATAAGCAGGGACCCGGACCCAAATGAAATAACGGTTCCTGTCCGGTTCCGAGAGAAACGACAAATTTCGGTTCGGGTTCAGTTACGGTTCCAAAAAAAATATTTCTGTCCGGTTCGGACCAATCTTTTCGGTTAATACGGTTTTTTTCGGTTCCAATTTTTTTTAACCTGTAGGTTCCGAAAAAGAAATACCCTGTATAAATTTATTAGAATACGTGTTAGTATATATTTTATTTTTCTAATTTTAAAATAGGATTAAGCTATAAAACTTTATTTCAAGGCAAACAAATTTTACAAATTTAGGTAGAAAATTTGCCAAACAAACAAGAGAGGTAAGCGCTAAGCTGAAGGAAGAGTACATCTGGCATACACATTGGGCAAGGAATTTCCACTAGAGGTAAACGAAAAAGGTTTTTTGAAAAGGAGAGATGAGGCAGAAGCGTTTTGAATTCGGTGCAGTACAGTTCGTTTTCTTTGGTAAAATTGTAAAAGTAAATTATTGTTCTAAAATCATTGTTAAAAGTGTTGTTAGTGTATTCTACAAGGTCAGTTCTAAATATTTAATCTATTTAAATGTGTAGTAAAATTAACTAAACGTAATATTGTGCATTTTTAAATTGTTAATATTATTATTATATAATTATTGCTATTATGAGTATATTTATCCTTTACTATTACGTTTAGCTGTATTTTACGTTATTTTTAACCCTTTTCTTTTAGCTATTACCACCCCTAGTCTCGCTTTTATTATTATCACTATAATTTTAATAATTTGCTATGCTCAATGCTTGTACCGCTTAAATGTAACCTTGTATTTTGTTTGTGCTTAACCCATCATTTTGTACCCTTTTCTATAACGTGGTTAAGCATTGTTTTATGATCAGTCCAAAGTTATTGATGTATTGCGAAATTACTCGGTGCTTAACCAGGAGTGCTGACCGTTATTGTCCAACTTTGAGTACTCTTTGTTTGTGTGCGTGGGCCTTTGTTGTATGAACTAATATTTTTCTCCCGTGAGGGGAAACAGGTTGCCCTAGGTTCTCTAGGGTTGCATCGCTTTTCCCCGACCCTTCAACTAAAATAGGCGGGTTGCCTCCCATATTGGGACCTCGTTACATTCTGGGCCTAGCCCGGCTAACTAACCCCAATATTCTTCAGTTTTAAATCTTTGTTTAAATGCAGTATCGAGCCATATCGCCAATACATTAATTTGCGTAATTTTTAAAGTACAATGCCTGACCGCGTATTCCTTTGCTACTTCATAGCCGACCAGGGTTTTTTCTCAGGCTCTTTTTCCCTGGCCGAACCCTCCTAAGAGCCACCCCTTGCTTGTTTGTAAAAAGTTAACGTAAATTAAATTGGGGTAAATTAAGCCACTGTATTTTATTTCTTATAAACCTATTTCTCCCACGTATCATTCTTAAAGCAATGCATTTTATAAAACAAGTAAGTAAACACAGCGTAGAGGTCCAAATTTGGGTAAGACGATCACGAGCCAAAGCCACGAAATATTTAATTTACCAAAGTTTCATAAAACTTGTTTTAACGAACCTGGGGTAAAGAGAAATCTTTACAGTATAAATAAGTAAAATTATAAAATGAAAAAAAAATATTTTTTTGTAGATTTTTTTTTGCATGTAATTAAATTTCTTTGTCTATTCTTTTTTTTAAATCAGGTTCTTCAATTTTAGGCTCTTCATTTTTTTTTTCTTTACTTTTATTCTCGATCGGCTTGCTAACTTTACCTTTTTCTTCTGATCTTGCGATTAAAAAACTGTGAAACTCATATTAAAATAAGTTATACAAAAATAAAAAAAACTGAACTTTCAGCTTTTGGTTTTTTTTCTCCAAAAATTGTGTTGGTTCTCACAAATAACTTATTCTCTAAATTTTTTCTTTTATGTTTGATCTTGTTGGGGGAAGTAAAAATTTGTGACCAGAAAACAGCCTTTTAATGCTTACTTACTTGTGTTGCAGGTGTCATAAGTATTCTTCTTCTTCCTTGGTGGCCAAAGGCCTTAATGGTCTTGGTTTTATTGTACCACTTTGACCAGAAGCAAGTTTTAACGTCCATGCGTTTCACGAAGCCATCCACCCATAGACACGTAAATTTTCCAATCTTGGAACATCCACTAAATCTTTTGTACAGAAAACAAAATACCTCGCTAAAAGGTCAAAGCCTGCGATATTGTTCAAAAATACAGGTATATTGCTACACGCAGAATCCAATTTTGTCCATCCCGGGTCAAACTCAGCTATGGTACATACTTTTTCATCGAGCGATGGCCCAGAGCTGAGAATGCGGTGCACTACACATGAAGGACAAAATCGAACTGTCATAACTTATGACTCATAAGTATACTACCGGGCAATTGTAATTAATAAATCCCCACTACAAATGTACCTACCACCCATAGACAAAATGCTATGCTACCACCCATGCTTGTCAAGATACCAGTGTTGCCAACCTCTGGGTAATTACCCAAATTTTGGGTATTTTTTTCGTAAAATGTAATTTTTGGGTATTTGGGTATATTTTTATTTTTTCCTTAAATTTGGGTATTTTTATTCAAGATAAAATCCTTGATTGACTAAGGGCAAGTTTATCAATGTCCAACTAAAAGTGGCGGTTAAGTATCTTACAGTTACCTCCCATAGAGCACAAAGTCGTCCATATGGTGTCCATAGGACATCCATCTCTGTACAAATGGATATCCATAGTATGTCCAAGAATATTTTATGGACGTTCCATGTACGTACATATAACGTTACTTTGGCACACTATAGGATGTCCATGTTATGTAATAAATGTACATACAATGTACGTTGGAAGTGGACTTCCATATGATGTCAAAATGAGCCTAGGAACGAAAATTATAGAAAAATGTTGGGTTACTTGTTTATTCTGAGTTATGTATACATTTATTTATTCTAATCAAATTATAAACATATAGGGTTTAGGATAAAAAAGGTTTAGACAGTGGCGGCTGGTGGATTTAGAGTATACCAATATCTCAGTTATTAGACATGAGGCCCATATAAAACATATATAAGTTTATAATGACATTGAATAGACAATT